GAATTACCTGAGTTCGTGTTAGCCTCGCGATGTTGCTGTTGGTTTTCATGATCGAACGCTTCACGTCATGCACAGATTCGATCACGGTTCCTGCGTGACAACATGAGGAGGGGGGGGGAAGAAGCAAGAACAGCAGCAGCAACCGACAGCATGCTTGAGGGAATGTTCCATCAGGTCCCTTTCCTTCTCATTCTCCTTCTTCCTTGTAGCACACCTTCATCTCAAATGTCAAGCTTGTTGTCCTCTCTTCACACATCCTCGTACTTCTTCTGGCTGGCTGAGAGCCTTGCAATGTTCTTATCGATTTCGATGATCTCCTTCTCATCACTCTCGATTTGGTTGCCACACCTATGTCTACCATGACGTCTCAGCTCCATGCACCATCACCAGGCAGCTGCCTCCACCTCATTGCCCTCAAGTTTGCGATCATCGAGTCCAAACCAGAGATACTTCCCTTGGATGCATCCATAAGACATGCCTGACGGCATTTCAGCACACTGGAGAGTTTCACACAGCAAACGATCTCATCAAAACAATGCATGTACAATGGAGCGCGCTGTTTCATGTAAGGACTTACGAGTTCCATTCTTCCTCGCTTCGTCAGTCGCTTCAGAGCATCGGTCATTCCCTCTCTCATCGCTCTCTCCATCTCCTGCTGCCTCCCCTCCTCCTTGCCTTCTCCCGACATGTTCGTCTCCAACGCTGGTCGCTGGCCCACCCACCACAACCAAGACCACCCACCCTAGAAGATTAATTGATGTAACAGAACCCTACCTCCATAACTAAAAATGGTTCTTTTTCAGTACCGCTCAAATTCCTAGATAAACTACCCCTACAATCATCTCACAGGTGGACTTGTGGTACCCTACCCTGTTGATTCAAAATGCCCAATTACCCCCACCCCTTCCAGCAACACGTTTCAACGGACGTCAAAACAATTTATGGGGGAATGGGTTGAGACAGGGCAGAGGAAGGGGAGGGGAAGGGGAGGGAGGGGGAGGGGAACAAGGAAGGAGCGAGAGGGTGAGAGAAAGAGGATGAGGAGGTTGAGAAACGAGATCACTGCAAACAGCCTTGAAATGAGGATTGAAAAGGGTCTTTGTGTTCTGCAATCTTCTGCTGATGATTTCAGCCCTAGGGAAACATGAAGCCTGCAAGGAGAATGGGAAATTTTGATGCCTGGGTGGATCCGGCAGGGGTTCAGATCATGCAGGATAAAGTAAGGCAGGAGAAAGAGAGCGTCCTGTTGAGCAGGTAAGTCACAATCATGACGTACCAAATCTGTTCATGTGCTCCAATACGAAACTTTGTGTCCCATCATACCTGAGTCACCAATAGAGGATTTTTTTCTGTGATGTCAAGACATTTTGCCATCATGTGCATCACGATCTTTGCGATGTCAATCAGCTCTTGTGCTCCTGCTACACGTGAACAGGTCCTTTGCTAAGACTGAAGTGTCGGCGTCGTTCAGGGCACGGCCAGCAAGCGCGTTCTGGTATGACAAGAACCAACGGTCTCGTCCTTCGACAGCTACGGCTTCAGAATTCGGGTTCTATGGGGGAATGCTGGGGAACATGAGGAGAAAGGATTCCTCTCCCCCTTCCAAGGAGTCCTGTCCGTCTTGCAGCGTAAGGAAACATCCGCATGTTAGTGACTTTCTCAAGCTGCTCGTGCCCTGACACCAGCGGCAGGAATGGTTGATGGGAGCGAGGCAGAAGACAGCTGCAAAGTCCCCCGCCTCTCCCCCGCGTCACGCGGTCTACCTGGAAGACGGTCGGTCGATGCGGAGGCAGGTCAACCTTACGACCTCGGCGATGACATCAGGTGAGGACTCAGCTGGGAAGGCCGAGCTGAGAAGTCACTGCATGCTGCATGATACCCAGCTGTACTGTCCTTCCTCCCTTCATCGTCTCCGCCTCTGCCTGCGACTGCTTGACGCTTATGCCAGCGGCCATCGGCCAACCGACCAACAACGTGGAGCAGGTGAGGGTCAAGAGAAACGCAACCAACGATAGTTCAGCTGTTTCTCAGCTGCTAAAGTCCCAGCACTGACAAGACACGATCGTGCACTAGCTGGCTCCTACCTCTTCATTAAAGTTCTCCTCCTCCTCCTCGCCCTCCTCCTCATTCGTAGCAAATTTAGAGGTACTCGTCGTCCTGGAACAGCTGGGCCTTGTCCTCTCTCCTCCTCCTCCCTGCCTCCAGAATCTCCTCCAGCCAACGGTGCCTGCGATGAGGGAGGAGGGGACGGAGAAGGTCAGCAACTGATGAGGGCACAAGAAGCCTCTCCTGACCTCTCAAGGATACGCAGGTTCCCGATCGAAGACCTCTCGTTCCACCTTCCTCTCGTCCTGACCTCCTTCCACTCCTCGTCCCCGGAGGGATTTCTCAGCTCGAGACTCCCAGGTGGAGGGTCAGCAGAGGCCCTCCTCTCCTCAGCTCCGTGGAAGAAAGTGTCTAGGGATACTTCCGACAGCCTCTCCTCGTCATCCTCCTTCTTCTGCTTCCAGCCATGGCGCTGCCCAGCGACGTCTCCTGTAGAGAGATTTCCCTTCATGGTGGGCCAGAGGGGACTCTTGCGGTCGAGGAAGGAGACGTAGAACGTGACACTCTCGGTGACGTCGGCCATGATGCCCGCAGGCCTGATCGCTTCGGAGACTTGCAGGTGCACGTTGGTCCTGTGAGGACAGTGACGGCAGCAGAGCAGCAGGGGAGGGGAGAAACATGGAGAGCAGAGGAGAGACAGAGGAGAGCAGAGGAGGAGGCGAGCTGAGGAGGCGGGATAGGAGTAGAGAGTCGAGGTCAGGAGGGGAGAGGAGAGGAGAGGAGAGGAAGGAGTACCTTGTGTTCAAGATCAGCTCCTCCTCCACCCTTGGTGTCCTCGTTAGGACAAACGGAGTCGTCACATCCCACGTCTGGTGAGAGGGTTCAACCAAGCGCGGCAGATCAGGAGCAAGTTTGACTGACGTTGCCTGACTTCCTGACGGTAGTGAGGTAAGGGGAATGCTTCGGGTAGGCAGTCTGGAAGCGATCCTCCTCGTCGTGGATAACGATCTTCAGCATTGTCTCCATCAGCATGTTGCAAAGCTTTCTCATGGAGTCGGTGGACTTGAGGTTGTGCGAGGATCTTACTATCCTTCTGGCTCCGTCGAGCCAGTAGATGCGTATGAGAAGGTCTCTTGCTACATGCACAAGTGCGTCATGATGCTGCTGGTTTTGGTGATGTCTACATGTTCATCTCACCTTCATTCCAATTCTCGTCGTCAAGATTGTGTGTTTCCTTGGGTTTCTTCTCCTGTAACGAGTGAGATGATAGCTCATTCGACGTGAGAGGAGCACCTTGACAGGAACAGATTGCGCAAGTTGGTGGATGATGATGACTTTGATCAGGGAGGAGACAACTCCTGTTGAAGCACAAGTGCAAACGGATGTCAGATTTGACGTTTGCGCACAATCTTATCAACCCATCATAGAAGGACTTTTGTTCTGCTGCAGAATCTTCAACTTCTGCAACACAGCCGCCATGTCAGCCGAATCAGCAGGGCTCGTCAAAGTTGGCAACAACCATTAAACTCTCCTTGACCTTCTCCCTCCCTCGCCTGTCTCTGATCGTCAAGAGGAAACTCAGCTTGTTGCTGCCTCCAGCTGCAATAGAGCTGCTGTGGGCCACAAAGACCTGCCGGCCGTGTCATCCGCAGACGTCAAAAGTCTCTCGAGTCACGTCGGCCGTTGGGACGTTCAAAGCGTTGGAGATGTCTTGGCTGAACTCCTCCTGAATGGCCCTGAGCTCCGATCCTGAGATCTTGTGCGGCCTCTAATGGAGTAGAGGAGAGCAGTTAGGCAGCTGAGACCTTGATTCTCCCCTGCCGGTTTATTCGCAGCTGAGCGCAAGCAGCAGAGACAACAGCACTGATCAATGTAGAGCTTGATACGTCAAGGTTTGATGATGGTGATGGTGATGGTGATGGTGGTGGTGATGATGATTGAGATGGAGATGATGATGATGATGATGATGGAGATGATGATGATGATGATGATGTCGTCAAAAAGAACTCACCATGCCCGTTCGGGTTTGGATCATCTTGTGAGCCCGACAAGTCATCCTCGTTCTCGTTCTCGTCCTCTTCCCCTTGCTCTCTCTCTTGCTCTTCCCGCTTAACTTCCTCTTCGCCGTCCTCGTCGACGTCTGCATCTCCTCTTGCATTCCTTTTCCAAACAAGATTCTCAACGTGCGTTGGAGCATCATCGGCGATCTGGTAGCTCTTCTCATCCCATGCTTCATGCACCTGGCCACGACAATCAATCAACTTCGATCCTCCGCTCCTGCCCATCACCCTGAAGCTCCCCAGCCTCTTGAGAATCGCAAAGTTCTTTAGCGAGTCCCTTTTCGCATTCATCACCCTCGCAAGCTCCTGCTTCAAACAAGAACGACGTCACATCAGCTCATCCTCGAGGAGACAAGACACACCTTGAGCGAACGTCTGTCGGGGCTCAACCTGTCTTGCGCAACGTTGACCTTGACGATGCAGCACTTCTCGTAGCCCTCAAGCTCAAGAATCCTCAGCCTGCCGTCCGTTCATCTTCTGAATTGAAAAGATTGAGCAATGCTTGCCTCGCTGCCTCCACTCCCAGCGCCGAAGAGAGCTCATCGACAATCTACAAGGACATACAAATCATCAACATACAAGGAGCACTCACATTAGTATGCAAGCACGTACTTTGAGCTCGAATCGTTTCCTGCTGTCATCATTCTTCAGCAGCCACCTTCATGGTTCTTGTCATGAGCTACTCTCCATATCACATAGTTGTTGCGTGTCTCACATGTACTTCTCGACCAGCTCGAATGTGATCCCCGCTGCAAGCTCTCCATACCTGTCAGACTTCCTTCGAGTCTGCTCTTTTGTGAATTCAATGTTCTTGATAGTAAGCCGGCTCATCTTGTCGCTGGTATGACTCGCACGTCACATCATCAGACCTGATGAGCCGCATCAGAGCATGATCAGTCAGACGTCCTGCTCCCACTAGCTACACACATAAACGATGAAAGCAGTAGATGAGGGAAGCCAATGACTTTGAAGAGCGAGGAACGTGGCAAATGGGGGACTAGTTGAAGGAGGCACAGTAGGACCCAAGGAAGAGAAAGAGCAGGATGAGGAAGAGGAGGAGGAGGAGGAGAAGCACGAGGAGGAGGAGGAGAAGCACGAGGAGGAGGAGGAGGAGGAGGAGGAGGAGGAGGAGAAGTAGCTGCCAGGAGGAGGAGGGATGGGGAGGACAAGCAGCAGCAGCAGCAGCAGGAGAAGGAGAAGTAGAAGGAGAAGCAGCAGGAGTACCAGAAACAGGAGCAGCAGGAGGAGGAGATGCAGGAGGAGGAGAAGCAGAAGGAGGAGAAGTAGAAGGAGAAGGAGAAGCAGGAGTAGAACGAGGAGGAGGAGTAGAAGCAGCAGCAGCAGGAGGAGAAGCAGCAGCAGCAGCAGCAGCAGCAGGAGCAGGAGCAGGAGCAGGAGCAGCAGCAGGAGCAGGAGCAGCAGCAGCAGCAGCATGCACTTTTTTTGAAAACGAATTTCAGGTTTGACAGTCCGAGCCCGCGCAGGGCGACACAGACAGGCTGAGAGGAGAGAGCGAGGAAGGGGGCGAGAAATCAAAGGCAGCGAGGTTGTTGGGCAAGGAGATGAAGCAAGGGGGGAGGTCTTACTTGACTGAGGGAGAGAAGTTCTACTAGTAACAAGGAAACGTCACTAGATCCATCTATTTTGCAGACTAACGATCCTGAGAGCTTCAGCGAGAAGCTGCCCCGTGCCCGGCTTCGTCATCGACTTGGTCGCCGCTTGTTGGCAAAGATTCTAACTTTTGCATACAGGCAATGTTATGCTGTACAACGGTAAGAGTAATGATCGAACGCCTGCTGAGGCATTTCAATCGTACCATGACATTCTGGTTCAGGTTTTCTTTCAGTTCCTGCATGATCTCTTCCTTGATCTTTTCAATCTGATTTGCCTGACCAGAGGATCGAATCAGCTGTGACGCATTTCCGTCTACAAGTCATCAGGGTCAATCGTACCGGCTGAGCATTCTCCATGAGCCTCTGAATATCCTTCAACGTGTTCTTCATGCACGGAGTCAATCGAGTCAGGTACTTGATCGTTTCTATTCCCATGTCGAGTACCTGGAGCTGGTCGAGCTTGTTTGAATGATATTCCATTGTGTTCTTCATGCATCAATCGAGTCAGGTCATACTTGATCGCAGTTTCTATTCTCATGTCGAGTACCTGGAGCTGGTCGAGCTTGGTGGAATGTTCCTAACAAGCACCATCGAGTCAGGTCATACTTGATCGCAGTTTCTATTCTCATGTCGAGTACCTGGAGCTTGTTTGAATGGTCTTCCATTGTGTCCCTTGTTCTCTTGCCGAGTACCTGGAGCTGGTCGAGCTTGTCTGAATGATCTTCCATTGTGTTCTTCATGCATCAATCGAGTCAGGTCATACTTGATCGCAGTTTCTATTCTCATGTCGAGTACCTGGAGCTGGTCGAGCTTGTCTGAATGATCTTCCATTGTGTTCTTCATGCATCAATCGAGTCAGGTCATACTTGATCGCAGTTTCTATTCTCATGTCGAGTACCTGGAGCTGGTCGAGCTTGGTGGAATGTTCCTAACAAGCACCATCGAGTCAGGTCATACTTGATCGCAGTTTCTATTCTCATGTCGAGTACCTGGAGCTTGTTTGAATGGTCTTGCAATATGTTGTTCACTTCCTAACAAGCACCATCGAGTCAGGTCATACTTGATCGCAGTTTCTATTCTCATGTCGAGTACCTGGAGCTTGTTTGAATGGTCTTGCAATATGTTGTTCACTTCCTAACAAGCACCATCGAGTCAGGTCATACTTGATCGCAGTTTCTATTCTCATGTCGAGTACCTGGAGCTTGTTTGAATGGTCTTGCAATATGTTGTTCACTTCCTAACAAGCACCATCGAGTCAGGTCATACTTGATCACAGTTTCTATTCTCATGTCGAGTACCTGGAGCTGGTAAGACTGGTTCACCAGCTCCATCTTGGTGTCATGAGCGATGCTGTAGTAATCGCGATACTCGCTGAAACAGAGGAAGACTGGTATCCCGCAGTTTGCGAGCGAGATGTCCGAGTCAGCAGCCCCCTTCCATCTCCGTGCAATGCCTGTAGCATAGTCTACGAACGCCTCCTTGTTCTTAGAGCAAACGATCACTCCCATAGCAACCAGCTTTGCCTGCGGTTGAGACTCCTGCCACATTTGATTCTTGAGGCTCAACGCCACCTGCAGCTGCCACAGCTTCTTGACGATTGAGCACGGGCTCTGCGTGATCTCGATATGAACGAGGTCGTTTTGGTTGAGAACAAGATTCTGCAGCTCCTGCTTGGCGTCAGCTGACTGAGAACATGTGTCGGCGCTGCCGCATCGATGCAGGGCCAGGACCAACGGCTGCTCATCTTCCTTGTTGATGAGAACGTCCTTCAGAACATACCACAGACTCACTGTTGTAGCTTCTGAAATATGTCTGAAGTAGAGATCATATTGAAACTTAACCATTCCATCATAGTTCTTTTTGCTTTCAGATATACCATCTAGTTTCCCATCATGTTTGCTGTCTATAAATTTGGCGTTGAACATCTCCCTGTATTTTTGCTCGTTGATACGTTTCAAGTGTTGGTCCATCTCTGGATAGTAAAACCTGACTATTTCCTCTTTCTCCCGCGCCAACCTGCTGTAGATGAAGGCTTCAGACGGGTCATTGGTCTGGATCCCGTGAAGAAACTCCACCATGCGCTCTGACTGCGACCAGACGTCTGTTGCGCGGCTCTTCTTGTCTTGTTTGCCCATGAACTGAGCTTCTGGTTGGGGGGACGAGCTAGTAGGTCCTGCGTTATATCCTCTGTGGTAGGATAGCCTCGGATAGGTCCGTACCTACGAGCACGTGCTCGATCTTGTCTTGTAAACTTTCCATAGCAGTCACCAATACAAGGAGCCAAGGAAGCGCCAGAGGTGACCACCATCTCTCTGTCCTCCCCCCCTCTTGCTTCGGGCCATTTGCTCACCACCCTTGACCACGTCTTTCAAGGGAGGGGAGGGGGGGAGAAGATGCGCGAGAGTTGTAGCTGCTTCGCTAGTGCGCCGGGTTGAAGGGACAGACGAGTGATGTGGTAGAAACTCCTCTGAGTCAATGGAGGCCTTGCTGAAGTGGGCATGCCAGAAGGATCGGACGGGAGAGGTCAGCAACATGACCGCTGCGGAGCAGATGGGAGGTCAGCAACATGACTCGGACGAGGCGTTGCTGCTGAGCGGATCAAGATCTGCCTTTCCCGTGTGGATCTCCCACGGTCCCATAGGCAGGTCGACTTAGAGCATCTGAATGCCAGCTACGCCTACCATGAGCGTTGCTGGGTATACATGATACATATACGGGATTATGCAGGAGCATGACCAGCAGATTAAGAGTGCGCTTGGTTATGGCGCTTGTTGTCAAGTCTGTGGCCATCGGACATGCTCAACTGGATGCTCATGCTTTCTACAAAGGCACGGTGAATGCTGGAGCAGGCTCGTGAGCTTCATTGGTCCGTTGGACTTTCTGACCACGCTTTCGTCTGAGGAAGGATGCTATGAGCCATGTTTCTGGGTCGATTCCCGCCTGCTTTTTTTCATCATGCAGTAGAATCTCACTCGGAGCATTCCATAGAGCGCTACATGGTATTGAGTAGAAGGTGAGCACCCTCACGATTGAGTACAAGGTGAGCACCCTCACGATTGAGTACAAGGTGAGCACCCTCACGATTGAGTACAAGGTGAGCACCCTCACGATTGAGTAGAAGGTGAGCACCCTCACGATTGAGTAGAAGGTGAGCACCCTCACGATTGAGTACAAGGTGAGCACCCTCACGATTGAGTAGAAGGTGAGCACCCTCACGATTGAGTAGAAGGTGAGCACCCTCACGATTGAGTAGAAGGTGAGCACCCTCACGATTGAGTACAAGGTGAGCACCCTCACGATTGTGTAGAAGGTGAGCACCCTCACGATTGAGTAGAAGGTGAGCACCCTCACGATTGAGTACAAGGTGAGCACCCTCACGATTGAGTACAAGGTGAGCACCCTCACGATTGAGTAGAAGGTGAGCACCCTCACGATTGAGTAGAAGGTGAGCACCCTCACGATTGAGTACAAGGTGAGCACCCTCACGATTGAGTAGAAGGTGAGCACCCTCACGATTGAGTAGAAGGTGAGCACTCTCACGATTGAGTAGAAGGTGAGCACCCTCACGATTGAGTAGAAGGTGAGCACCCTCACGATTGAGTACAAGGTGAGCACCCTCACGATTGAGTACAAGGTGAGCACCCTCACGATTGAGTAGAAGGTGAGCACCCTCACGATTGAGTACAAGGTGAGCACCCTCACGATTGAGTACAAGGTGAGCACCCTCACGATTGAGTAGAAGGTGAGCACCCTCACGATTGAGTAGAAGGTGAGCACCCTCACGATTGAGTAGAAGGTGAGCACCCTCACGATTGAGTAGAAGGTGAGCACCCTCACGATTGAGTAGAAGGTGAGCACCCTCACGATTGTGGTCCGATCGCCTTCCAGCACAAGGCGCGCGAAAGCTCAAGATTGATGACGCGCTCTATGCAGAAACTTGACCCTTTAGTACTTCGCAAGGCTAACACTGATCCCCTGCTTGCCACGTGTAGCAGACATTCTTGTCTGTCCAGAGCTTGCGGTGTGATCATGGTGTGAGAGTCTGTGGCTGCAGACTCGGCGGCAACACCAACATGAAGTGGGGGGGGGAGGGGGGCACTGGGTGCAATGGCAGTGAAAGTTCATGACACTTGAAACGAGGAAATATTAAGGGCGGTTAGCAGCCTTCACTCCAAGCTGTTGGCTCCACCCTGCCCAGCTGGGGCCCCCTGTTACCCGAGCACGTCAGGGCCCAGCACAAGCCTAGCATTCCTAGCAGTCCAACTCACCGCTTCTCCCTCAGCTCCCGGAGCCCCGGCGGCTCCGCCGGCAGTCATCTTAGCGAACTGGAGCAGCAGCGTCAGCGATGACGGCAAGGACGACAGCATGCGGCAGTGCACGGCTCACCTGCTCGCTGGCCTTGGAGAAGTCGGCAGGGAGGCCGAGGAGTCCGGTGATCTTGCTGAAGATGGACATGGCATCGGGATCGGAGTAGTACTTGAGGATCTGTAGACAGCCACGTCACCTTCTACCTAGAGCCGCTAGCCTCGTGCTCACAGCCATCGGGCCGTTGGTGCGGATATCGTTGACGATCTCCTGCATCTTGGGATCCTTCTGGATCTCCTTGATCTCAGGGCTGTCAAACAACCCCCTGTCAAAACTCCTCCATTCCCCCGCGAGCCCTTCCCACCTGTCCGCCAGCTGCTCCAGCTTCTCAGGCTTCAGGTAGTCCTTCATCATGTTCTGGGCTGCCTGGGCCATCTCTTGCCATCTACATACTTGTCAAACTTGGAAAACAACGCGACAGTTGACACGTTACCCTGCCATGTTCTGCATCTTGGACGGATCGAACGCTCCAGGGTTCATCCCAGCGGCTCCCATGCCTTCCCCAGCTCCAGCTCCTCCAGCTCCTGCTGCAGGCATGAGACTTTCACACAGGCTACACGCAAGACACACCTGCTCCGAATCCTCCCATTCCTCCAGTCAAACCTCCTGCAGTGAATGGCGAGCTGCTGCTGCTGACACCGGTCATGTTTCTGCTCTGTCTCTTGACCCGCTTCATGTTCACCTCATATCTTGTTCTCCCGTCCCTGCCAGTTGCTTCAGAGATGGTCAACAAAGTCAAAGTCCGCACGCCTACCGAGAGGATTCTGCTTCTGTCCCCCCATCATGCCCATGATCTATGTAAGGCGAGCTCAGCAAAAGGTAGAGGAAGAGGAGGAGGCGGATGCCTGTTCTCCGATCTTGGCATATTCCTTCATCAGGGTCTCATTCTTCATCATGTCGTCCATCCTGCATCAAGTCATCAGACCTCCGGCAACCAACTGTCACAGTCCACGTCACCTCTGCTTGAACTCAGGGTTGTTCATCAAGTTCTGAGCCATCTGCAAGCATCCAGCTCAGTCGCACTGGAGCAAGGTTGCAGTTTGACCTGCTGGAACGCTGGGTTTGTGAACATGGAGTTCATCGCATCCATGTTGAGGCCTAGCAACCCAAAACTTCAGCTCATGCTTGCTAGATGTTCCCGACCAACACACCTGGGACGCCGGCATCCGCTCCTCCTCTCAGGTTCAAGCTCAGGCGAGTCTGTGCCAGCATGTCAAACAGTCTTCCCATCATGTAGATTGATAGGATCGGCATCAGCAACAACGTACAACCAAGATCGAGATATCCATCACTCAGAGCAATTACCGTGCAAAACCCTCCGTATGAGGCATTGGATTGATCGAAGAGAAAGAGACCAATGAGGAGAAGAGGGAAAACAAAATCTCGCTTCATGGCTGCCAAACCAAGTGAGTTCCTGAGTCAGATCAAATTACAGCTTCGAGGGCTACAGACAATGGTCACAGCCGGCCCTGCACTGCAAACTATGGTCTACAGATATTCTTGTGGTAGGAACCTTGTTGTTAATGCGGTGGCTGGGATTCTAATTTCAAATTGCTTTCTTTCGATCCGACTGCTTTCCTCACCCCCAGCTACATCAAGTTTGGAATTGAAGGGCAAAAATTTGCTCGCCTAAGATGATCCTGTTCACCTTGCTGTGGTCAATATCTCTCTGCTGCTTCCAATACGCTTCTTCTTCAACGCTTCCTTTGTGAGGATTTCATCCCCATCACAGCTCCTTGCACAGTCCCCCCTCAATTCCTCCTTTGGCTGAGCCCTCACAATCCCACTGTACAACTCCCACCGGCATCCTGCTCCGTAGTTCTCCCGACTCCAGCACATTCTTGTATCCATCTTCTATCTCCAGATTCACGCTTGTCGCTCTTCTTTCTCTCTACTTTCGCCTCCCTCTCCTTTCCTCTCCCTCCTCCTCTGCTCCTCTGCTCCTCTGCTCCTCTGCTCCTCTGCTCCTCTGCTCCTTTTCCTTCTCCTCTGATTCTCTGATCCTCTGATTCTCTGATCCTCTGATCCTCTCCTCGCCATCCTCTCCGTCCTCCTCTCATCCTCTCCTCTCCTTCCCAACAACCTCCACGGAGGCCGTCATGGCCACGAGGACGCCCTAGCAAGTTTCAACAAATGTTTGATTGAGGGGGTAGGGGTAATCCAGCCAGGGGACTACCACAGGGCTACCGTGGGTCCAAACAACGTAAAGAAGGTGGTAGGGGTAGAAAAGGGGTTGGAGGGTCCGATTTGGAGATGGGGTGGGTAGGCCGTACTAGGATGTGGAGGAGCCCGGGCGGGCCTGAAAAAGGGCTCGGAGATAGTAACCACGGAAGTTGGTAGAACATTGCGCGGGAAAAACAAGCTGAAAAAAACTTCAAGAGAACTGAATGACAAGCACAGTGAACTCGAAGTCGTCATGAGAGAACCGCATCATGCCCAACTTTGGGAACATGCACTGACTTCAATCAGGGAACATGCACTGACTTCAATCAGGGAACATGCACTGACTTCAATCAGGCTGACTGTCGCTGTGCGGCGATGACCGTGGTAACGTCTGATTGTGATCCGATGATCATCCCTTTGAGCCTCCAACACTCCTCGTACGGTCCTGGCAGTGCGGCGGGGAGGGTAGTAGGGTCAGAACGCGGCAGGCGAAACAGGGGGTTGGCTAGCAAGTAAATACATTGGAAACGTGAGGAGACAAACTTTTATAAATCAATTTAAAATTTCAATGATTTTTACGAACACCCAAAAAATTCATTTATTTCTCTTTATTTTCCTTACCAAATCCCTATTATATTTTATTCAATTGAAATAATAGCTGCGCATTGGTGCGGATCATCACACAAAATAACCAAAAACAAACGAGCGCACACACGGAGTGTGCCAGAGCAAACATAATAACCAAACTAATTATGAATCCTTCAAGGATCATATAAGTAATAAAAAAATCTATGTGGGGTGAGGGGGCTGTGCTCATGGGGTAAAATATATAACACGTTGTTTTTACAAACCCCCTAAGTAACAAAATAATCTATCCCCGCCGCCACCCTCCGCCCCCTCCGCCTCTACCCCCCCGCCTATTTCACATAACGGCTTAATTTTTCTTTTCTTTATTTTTTCCGCTCTATTACATGATTAATTTATTTGGCGGGGGGGGCGGGGGGGGCGGGGGGGTATTTTCCATATTCTAATATATATATATATACCCATAAAGTAAACAAAATTTTATATTATCCTAAAATCACGATTTACCCCCCCGCCCCCCCCGCCTAACGTCTATTTACCCTACGTTTACCATTCTTTTCACACTCCACCACAGCCAAAACATGGCGGAGGTACCCCCCGCCTTACCCCCCCGCCTACCCCCCGTCCCCCCCGCCTACCTCCTTTTTATTAAAACCCCTTTATCATTATCATTATCATTACCATTATTATACTAAATTATATTCTTTATTTTTATCTATCTTTCTTTATTATAAATGAGTACTAGAAAAGGCAACACATGGATTCAAGCGCTGAAAGAGTTCAATAAAGGTCATTCTGGCACGTGGTGCATTGTCAAGAAAGGATCAAAAGAATATGATCATGTTAAGGGAATCATGCAAGATCTAAAAACATATGACGGTAATATTCCACATAAGCAATATGCAAAACCTGTCAAACCTAAGAAACTTATCACTGCAAATCAGCAATACAAGGATAAAGCGAGTGTTGGACCTAAACAAAAGAAAATGACAAACAAAGAAAGATATGATAAAGCAATTAAATTAAAAGTTGGAGATATCAAAAGCAATAATAAATGCCCCGTGTGTGATCATCAATTTGATAAAACACCATTAAAGGATGAATTTAAGGCACATGTCAACAGCGATAAACATAAGAAAGTATTGTCGAATTTAAAATTTATGCTTGAATTTGATAAATAAAAAACTAAGAAATTAACATATTGCGCTTTTTATTCAAGCAATGACTCCATATATTTTTGATGTTTTTTTGATTTAAGATGCCTATTATGATCGTACTTAGATACAAGAGATCCACATTCACACTGCTGTTTTTCTTTATTGCGTTCATAATATTGTCTATCTTTTTCATTGAGTTTTTCTTTATTTTGCTCTCTGTATTGCTTCTGTTTTTCTTTTAATTTCTCTTTGTTTTGATCTCTATAATGTTTTTTGTTTTGTGATATTTTCTCTTTATTGTTCTCTGAGTATATTTTGACATTTGTTTTTATTTTATCCTTATGATCTTCATAATATTGTTTGTGTTTTTCCTTTAAAGAATCTATGTTAATTTTGTAATACTCCTTTTTGTTTTGTGCTAATTTCTCCTTGTTATCATAATTATATTGCTTTGCATCTCTTCCGGCAATCCTCAAATTAAGAGTTCCAATCTCCCTTATTACCTCACCTTCTCTTTTATGAAGTTCTTTCTTATCATTGCAAGGGAATTTCTCATATAATTCAATATACCAATTCTCAAGATCATTAGTCTCGCGGATCTTTTGATATAACAACATATTAAATGATGAATGATTCTCATAAAAGCAACTTTTCTTATGATAATACCACCTTGCATTTAATGAACAAGCAGATGAACCGACGTAAATGAGGTTTTTATCCTTCCTATACCTGATAGTATAGATAACCGAATTTTGATAATTTACCATGTTTAGACTTGATCAAAAATTTATGAATCAAATCATTTTTTATCAAAAATGAATAAAAATGATCAAATCTAAATTTTCCTTATTACGTAGTGATACATCAAATAAAATCTACATTGATATTCTAAAGATGGAGAGAACCAAAAGAAACACAAAGAAGCCTGAAGCTTTTAAACCTGATAACTTTAAAACCCAAAAGGCACAAAAGCCCAAGAAGCAACCCAAGCAGAATCAACCAAAGCAAGCACAGCCTAAGCCTACACAAGCGAAGAGCATTGCTGCACCAAATAAAGCACCTCGCTTTTTGGAATACTATAAAGAACTTAAAGTTATGAATGATGACATTTCAAATAATTATGAAAACAGTCTTAAGCTGCTTGACTTTAATCAATATACCGATCCAACAAAAAGCTTTACAATATGGCAAAAGATGGAAGCTTTGGTTGATTCAATTGATCCTAAAATCAATGGGCCAAACTCATTTATAAATGGCATCTACAAGCTCGATTATTCACCCGAGCAATATAAAAACCTTAATTACAAAAATATACCAACCTTAGAAGATCTAAAAAATAATAAGTATGTTCATATAGGCAGATCAAATCAGACAAAATTTAACATCTACAATCCGATTTATAATCAAGAATGTCCCATCTGTTCCGCAAGATTTACAAGATCTTAAATTTTTAATAGAGAACCACAGACAAATAATTAATCAATTATTGATTTTGAGATTCAATAAGGGTCAATCAATCGCAACATGCCGTAATGATTTGTACAATATTGGGCGGCTAATGCGCATCGCTTTTGGTGATCAAAATGAACTTAAAACAAAACTTATCGCTCTAGCGATGGACTTTGACAACATCATAAGACAAGAAGAAGGACAGAACAAGTTGAACAAGTATGAAGAGGGTTTCATACCATATGGAAGCCTTCTTGACCTTGTTGAAGAAATGAATAAACAATTTAGAGAATCACTAAAAAACAAAGGTAAAAATGACCCCTTAACTTTCAAACTGCACATGTATGCCTTAATTTTGCAAGCGTATTTATACACGCCACCTGTCAGGTTGGAGCTCTCAAATGCTAAATTTACAACAACCTTATCAAATTTAAATAACAATACAGATTATATTCACATTCCAAATGACAAATCGAAACTTGTTGAGTATGTTTTTAACAAAGACAAGAAAAAGCACGGAGCTATAAGGTACTTTGTCGGCTATATGATCAATACCAGAGCAAAGATAAGCGAGAATCTCTCACCATATGCTTTTAAATTAAGTGATTTCATTCGTGAGAGCTATTCGCTTTATCCTCGTGAATATTTCATAACACAAATCAAAGATAGAAATAAACCAGCGTTAGCCAACATGGCCGTTTATCTTAAAAATATGTTTGATAAATTGCCTCTTAATGTCAATATGTTTCGCAGTAGTTTCGTAACATATCTCCACCAAAACAACACACCAAACAAGATTTTGCAAGACGTCGCCCTAAAAATGAGAAACTCAGTTATGCAACAACAAGCAACATATAAAAAATCATTATCCAAAAATGAGATGATTTCGATCAAACAAGAAAAAGGATTCACTGACCTACAATCTGCGGCCGCTGAAACAATCAGGATCAAACAAGAGCCAACCGATGAGATCCAACCTATCGAATCAGTACAACATACGATAAGGCAACCAAATAAACCACATATAAAAGATCCTAGAATATCAGAGCGCGAAAGACAACGCAAATATTATAACAATAAGAAAGCCGATATATTAGATAAGAAAAAACAGCAATACGAAGATAATAAGGACAAAATAACAGCTCGAAAGATAATTAAACGATTAAATGACATCATTTCAACCGGTGGAACTGCCAAGCCAACAGCTGCCAGCATGGCAACATATCAACTATACAAGGAGGGCAACACATGGAAGAGCCGGATACTCTAATTATATAAAAATGATTTGATTATTTTTTAATATATCAAGTAAAATAAACTTTCTTACTTTATATTAAAGTAGGCGAAGCCAAGCGTAGCGTGAATTTGTTTCTTTCGAAAACAATGCCAACCCCACAAGCACTGCACTATAAAAAGAAGATTGCAACTGATAAAGAATTTCACGATAAAGAATGCAAGAGAATAAATGAATATATTAAACAAAAATACACAAATGAC